GATAAACTTATTTTCACTATTCAATGAGACGTCCCTGTCTGGCAAGGTGTTCCATATGTATTGCATTGTTTCTCCCCATAACTGAATTTTCTCATAAGCAGAGTTGAGTATAAAAGGTGACAATATGGGTTTCTCTTCTGTGTGAATATTCTCATATTCAAGAACCAGTAACTTCTCTCAGAAAGTCCATAAAGTCAGTTAGCACAGTGGGCTACTTGTGTTGTAACACAAAGAGATCACACATGAAATGGCCAGCCATAGTAAGCATTTCTTTTTTATTTTTTTCTGACCGGTAAGGGGATTGCAACCCTCGGCACGGTGTTTTCCACACCACGCTCAGCCAGTGAGCGCATCGACCATTCCTATGTAGGATCCGAACCTGTGGCCTCGGTACTACTAGCACTGCACTCTCCCGAGTGAGCCGCGGGGCCGGCCCAGCATGTCTTACATAAAGCATGAATAGAGGATTTGGGGATAGAGTTGGAAAGAACTATGGTTTCTTCAATTCAGCCTGTCTTAAATTATGGTGAATTTCTCCCACCTATGGCCCCAGACTCTACGCTAGGAGTCATCTTCCCTTCAGTCCCAGAGAATGAGAAATCTGGGACAACTGCATGAAAATTTTTAAAAATTGCCTGGCCTGGAAGTAATGTTTATCACCTGTATCCGTACTCCTTTGAATATAGCTAAAAACACGGTGCCACACACAATAATTAAAGGCTGAGATTACAGGCATGTGTACAAGGGAAAAAAGGTATTTTTAGAAAATACATACCCAGTCTAATCCATGCAGAATCTTCCCCCTGTGTAAATTATCTCATGCCTGCAGTAATGTGAGTTCTTTTTACTTTACTTTTCTTTCTTTCCTTTTGTTAATTCCCAGGGGCTAGCCAGTACAGGGACCCATGGTGTTATCAGCACCATGTTCTAATGAACAATATGCTAACTATAGCCAGCCCTGTAACCGCTGAAATGTTTTCACAATTATTGATCCCTTCTATATCTGAGGGTTGCACATCTGCTGATTCAACCAAACATTTAAAAAACTATAATACAAGTAAAAAACAACAGTTTAACAACTACTTACAAGGAATTCCTTATGTATTGAGTAATATTAATATTCTACTCAAGATGTAAAGGACACATAAAGAAGTCCATAGGTAATATTGAAACAGTACACCATTTATAGAATGTGCTTGGTCATTTCCAAGCGTTTTCATCAAGAGGGGCCCCTGGAGCCAACCTCCAATACCAAGGGTCAGTTGTGCTTTTATACAGCTTCTTCTTGGTGTAAGTTCTCTGATGAAATGACAGGTGTGATTTATAGCAAAGCCTTCTCCCACAGTCATTACATTAATTGGGATTTTCCCACGTGTGAATTTGTTCATGTCTATTATGGTAAGTTCCAGTAAACTGTTTCCCCACATTTCTTACATTCACATGGTTTCTCACCTCTGTGAGTTCTCTCATACCTTCTACAGTCTAACTTTTGGTTAAAAGCTTTTCCACATTCTTTATGTTCATATTGTTTCTCACCTGTGTGAATTCCCTCATGTCTGTTGCTCTCTGACTTTTGGGTAAAAGCTTTTCCAGTCTTTACATTCATATAGCTTCTCACCTGTGTGACTTCTCTGATGAATGCTGAGGTTTGACTTTTGGTTAAAAGTTTCCCCACATTCTTTACATTAATAATGTTTCTCACCCGTGTGACTTTTCTGATGCCTGCTTAGGTTTGACTTCTGGTTAAAAGCTTTTCCACATTCTCTACACTCATATGGTTTCCCACCTCGGTGAACTCTCTGGTGAATGCTGAGGTGTGACTTTTGGTTAAATGTTTTTCCACATTCTTTACATTCATATGGTTTCTCACCTGTGTGAACTCTCTGGTGAATGCTGAGGTGTGACTTTTGGTTAAAAGGTTTTCCACAGTCTTTACTTTCATATGGTTTCTCACCTGTGTGAACTCTCTGGTGAATGCTGAGGTGTGACTTTTGGTTAAAAGGTTTTCCACAGTCTTTACTTTCATATGGTTTCTCACCTGTGTGAACTCTCTGGTGAATGCTGAGGTGTGACTTTTGGTTAAAAGGTTTTCCACAGTCTTTACTTTCATATGGTTTCTCACCTGTGTGAACTCTCTGGTGAATGCTGAGGTGTGACTTTTGGTTAAAAGGTTTTCCACAGTCTTTACTTTCATATGGTTTCTCACCTGTGTGAACTCTCTGGTGAATGCTGAGTCCTGACTTTTGGTTAAATGTTTTTCCACATTCTTTACAATCATATGGTTTCTCATCTGTGTGAATTCTGTGATGAATGATGAGTTGTGACTTTTCATAAAAAGCTTTCCCACAGTCTTTACATTTATATGGTTTCTCACCTGTGTGAATGCTCTCATGCCTGCTTACATCTGACTTTTTGCTAAAAGCTTTTCCACATTCTTTACATTCATATGGTTTCTCACCTGTGTGAATTCTCTTGTGAATGCTGAGGTATGATTTTTGTTTATAAGCTTTTCCACAGTCTTTACATTCATATGGTTTCTCACCTGTGTGAACTCTCTGGTGAATAGTGATGTATGACTTTTGGTTAAATGTTTTTCCACATTCTTTACAATCATATGGTTTCTCATCTGTGTGAATTCTGTGATGAATGATGAGTTGTGACTTTTCATAAAAAGCTTTCCCACAGTCTTTACATTTATATGGTTTCTCACCTGTGTGAATGCTCTCATGCCTGCTTACATCTGACTTTTTGCTAAAAGCTTTTCCACATTCTTTACATTCATATGGTTTCTCACCTGTGTGAACTCTCTGGTGAATAGTGATGTATGACTTTTGGTTAAATGTTTTTCCACATTCTTTACAATCATATGGTTTCTCATCTGTGTGAATTCTGTGATGAATGATGAGTTGTGACTTTTCATAAAAAGCTTTCCCACAGTCTTTACATTTATATGGTTTCTCACCTGTGTGAATGCTCTCATGCCTGCTTACATCTGACTTTTTGCTAAAAGCTTTTCCACATTCTTTACATTCATATGGTTTCTCACCTGTGTGAACTCTCTGGTGAATGCTGAGTCCTGACTTTTGGTTAAATGTTTTTCCACATTCTTTACA